AACCATATCAACTAACCTAAGGTTTCATGCATCAAAACTTATAAGTACAGATCAATACTTATTCTACAACTATATAAACATGAATAAAATTTAACATCTAACTCATACCTATTTCTCCAAGTTTGCTAGTTTTCTCTTAATTTTCTTGATTTCTTCTTTTCCTACTTCTTTTTCTTCCTCTTATCTTCTTCCTTTCTTCCCCTTTTCTTGAAATTTTAGTTTTTTACTCCTTGTTTTACTCCTTGGTTGTGGAAAAGATGGAGTATTTTTGGGGGTGTTTCTTTGGCTTGGTTTATGTCTTGTTTTAAAGGGTTGTTTGTGAGCTTTTTGGTGTGATTTCTCCTATTTATACTAGTCTCCACCTCCATTCTCCAATCTTCTAGATTTGTAGATATTTCTTGATATTATCTAAGATATTTTAATAACTTAGTGATTAGGTGTCCAATTTGTAGATATTTATAGGACTTTCTAGAATTTCTTTGAATTATTTAAGTATCTTAGTGATTAAGTTTCTAATTTATTTAATAATATGTTGATGAGATGTCCATTTTCTAGAATTTTGTAGAGTTATTTAGTTATCTTAATGATTAAGTATTCAATTCATTTTAATCACATGGTGATTAGGTGTCCTTTTTTTTTTGTAGAACTTTGTAGGTCATCCTAGAATTTTGTAGAATTATTTAAATATCTTACTGGTTAAGCATCTAATCTATTCTAGATTTCTATCTTGTAGAATTTTATAGAACTTTCTAGAATTATTTGAATATCTTAATAGTTAAGCTTTCAACCATTTAATCATTTGGTAATTAGGTATCTACTTTGGAGAGTTTTGTAGAACTTTCTAGAACATTGTAGAATTATTAAAGTATCTTACAAATTAATTATAATTTTGAGAAACTAATATCATCATCAGAATCTTCACCATTAAAAGTATAATTTTTTCTCTCTTGATCATCTCTTAATTGTGTTAATTAATATTAATTAAATAAATTAGAATTTGCTTATGTGTCATAATTTGATTGGTTGAGACTTTGTATTTTAATTTCACCTAACTATACATTTTTATTTATTGTTCTAAGTATACTATATTGATGATAAAATTATTTATAACCTTTTGAACATTTTTCCATAATTTTCTAGCTTAAGGTTTTAGTAGAATAATTTTCTCATGTTAAATCTTTAGATAATCTCTATAAATTTTAATTTAGATATGTTTTCTCTTAACTATATTTATTCTTAATCTACACTCAATAAATTATTATTTAAGTTAAAAATTACTTAAATTTTCTTAAATTGTGTTTCTTAGATTTTACAACGTGCTCTCAACACTGTTCGAGAAATAGTCAAATTAGACAATAAAATAAATGTTATTCAATTTAGAAAATCTTGTTACATAATGCTACATAAATTTTATTCACAGTAACTTATGTAATATTTAATATATATATATATATAATTTACAGAAATTATATAGATAAATAGTTACAAAATTTAGGATGTTACAGTTTCCCTTGTATACAAAGCTTCTAGGTAGGACTCCATTTTCTCTACTGAAAGGTCGTAGTTCTTCCCATCAAAGAAAGGATGGGAAACATATGAGAAACTTGATTCAACATCTATTTCAAAGGCCCCTTAAGAAGAGGGTTATGATACCAATTTTTGGTTGTTTTGAATTTTTGATAAGGAAGAATAATAGATAGAGAAGGCAAGCTAAGTGAGATAATCATCCCTAAAATTATGGAGAAAAATAAATAAAGTCACAATTGTTGCATTACGCTAACATTGCTTCTACAAGTTTCGGTATAAAAAATTGATAAGTAGCCTCCTTGATCAGATAAGAGGTACGTTTGGTGAAATGCATTTAATGTTTACATTAATGATTTGAAAACTTACTTGTCATCACAACGAAGAATAACGAAGAGAAACAAAACAAACTTGTGAGTTGGACTCAAAGTGTTACGATGGTCATCTCTTCCAAGCTACTATATAAGAAGATTCAAAGATCAAGAAAGACATGGACACAAATATACATAACAGAGACATAACAAACATATAGACACATTTGTATAGAAACATATTCTCTGTAAATTTATTATTTCTTGCAAACACCCACTACTTTATTGGTTGTATAACATCTAAGTGAGACGAACACAATACTTGTGTAACCTTCATAATCATTGTTATAAGGTTGAGACTAGATAGACTTGTCTGAAAAAGAATATTTGTTTTGAGTCTGGAGAGACTGAAAAAGAACACTTATTTTGAGCCTAGAGAGTTTTATTTGAAAAAAAATACTTGTTTTGAGCTTAAAGAAGCTTGTCTGAAAGAATAGTTGTTTTGAGTCTGGAGTGACTTGATTGTAGCAGAATACTTAGTTGTTAAACTTGGAGAGGTTTTTTGTTAAAAGAATATTAAGGTAGTTGCTTGAAGAAGCAAATTAAAGAATACTTAGGAGTTAAGATTGAGCCAGAAGTGACTTGTTGAAAAAATACTTATATCTTTATTGAAAGATAATGTAACTCAATTTAATTGAATTAAGAATTAGATGTAGTCTCGGTGGTTGAAACGAACTAATATAAAAATACTCGATGTTTCATCTGATTGCTCTGCGCACTTCATCCGACTAGAGTTACTACTTCACTATAAAAAAAAATTGTGTGAATTTTGATACACACTATTCAACCCTCCTTAATTTCTAGTTTTATCTTTTCTCCACACTTGTTTTTCTAACAAATTAGAATGCATGCTTTTTAAAAAGTCTATAATTAATGTATCCCAATAAATTAATAAAACATGTTTTAATTAATGATATTTTAATCTAAAAATAATTAATATATATATATATATATATATAATTATGAATCATGTCTTATATAAAAGGAACAAACAATTCTTGTAAGTTGAGTCTTTTAAATACAAATCGAGGTAGTATATATATGAGAAGAGTTCAAGTGATAACATTATAAGTAAAAAAGCAATAGGAACTAGAATAAATAGTGCAGTAGCAATAAATGCGAGAATATTTACTTCCATAATCTCTATATATGCTTTATTTCTCTTCGATTTCCAATAATAAAAATTAGGGATTTAATCCCATAAAATATAGATGATAAATCTTTCATCGATAAATTCAACAACGGTATAAATTTGATTTCGAGTGTAATTTTTACAAACTATTACATCACTCAATAACTTTATATTAAATATAATTTTTTGTCGATTCAACCATTGAATTAGAACTTCATATCACCTTGTATGTTTATAAAATTGAACAATTTGATGGTAGTCAAAATATTCATATTTTAATATATTTTGAAATGTATATATTACGTCAACTTTATTTTATAAGAATGAGGTATCAAGATTAATATAAAATTTTGCACATATGATCTAGGAATAGAGATTTTTAAATCTAACGGTAAGTTTTGAAAAATTCACATTTAGTTGAAAGTTATTAAATGGTGTAATAGTTTATAAAAGTTACACAAGAGTTGTTGAATCCCTCCTCCCATCTCTCTCTATATAGAGGAGAGTTCAAATGACATTGTTGTAATTTTTACCAACTATTACATTGTTCAATAACTTTCAATTAAATGTGAATTTTATTGATCCAACTATTGAATTATAAATTCATATCACCTTATATTTTTATGTCAAATTTTGTTAAAATTAAACAACAATTTCAAAATAATCAAAACGTTCATATTTTAATATATTTTGAAATAAAAATATTATGTCAATTTTACTTTATAAGAATTAGATACTAATTATCTCTAATTACTATAAAATTATTTATATATATATATATATGATATAGGAGTATGACATTTTCAATCTAATGATAAATTTTAAAAATTTATATTTAATTAAAAATAATTAAATAATATAATAATTGATAAAATTTATACCAATATCATTTAAACCGTTATTATGATGTTTATTCGATCGTTACGAATGAAACTGAAATGAAAAAGAACATTTTGCTATAAATTGGTAGGAGCATATGGAAGATCCTCATATTCTTCTTTATCTTATTTTTAAATTTTAAATTATTACATGTTTATTCTATTCTCTTGATTCTTATTGATATATATTCATTTCTAAGAATGAAAAAACGATATAAGATGAAAATCATTTATATAATAAAATATAATACAAAAGAGAAGTGAAATAATATTAAAAGTTATATATTTTAATATATTTATTTAATATAATAAAAAATTAAGAATTCAAATAATGAAAAGTTTCATATCACCCTCAATCCAACATGATAAAACTTAAAAAAAAAAAAAATCATATTTTGAAAAATAAAATTTATATCATACGTGGGCGGAAGATAGATATTTTTTTGAAATAAAAAATATAATATAGATAACTTAAATTAAAGTCTAAATCAACAAAAGTTACATAATTAGTATATTAGTATAAATAATTAGATATTATTTAAGAAATTTGTTGGAGAAGTACTTTACTAGATTGATATTTAGTATAAATTAATTAATTTTATGTGTTTATACTTTAAATAAATTATATATTATTTCAAATAATAGATTAGTTTAATGATAAATAATTTGTGATTTTAAGAGAGAGGAATTTATTTATTATAAAAATATGTCGTGATAATTTTACTTAATAATTCATGTTTTATGTTAAATTTTTACTATCTAATTATTAAATTAAATTTTTAATAAATTAAAAAATTAAAAAATTATATAATATTTTATTTTATAAATTCAAATTAACATATCAAATATTTTTATCATTATTCGTCAAATTGAATTAATAAATAAAGTATTGAATAATTTTCAATTTTTTACAAATTTTATAAAATTGATTTACGCATTAAAAAAAATGTACATACCCAAAAAATGTATCATCTCTATTAATAATATAAATTTTGAATTTATATTTTTAATATATATTTATAATTTTAAAATATATATGACTATGGACTCTTTATCTATAGTCCGTAAAATGGTAGGAAGGGTCTTTCTTCTAAAAACACAACAATTGAATGGTATCTCCAAACTCCGAAGTCCTTAATTACGTTTCTTGGCATGTACGAATGTTAATATTCGCCAAATCGCAGTTTCAATTTCGAAGACCCACTTCTCATTTCTCTCACAAATAAACAATCGGAATCCGGTTGTTAAGAGTGAATTTTCATCTCTGGTTTGTTCAATTGTTTATCCCCAAAAGAGAAAGAACTCAGCGAAAAAGAAGTAGCATCTGCATCACATTCTGTTCCCTCTTTTTTCGTCTTTATTTTTATTATACTTTTTCCCCTGCTTCACCCTTCCTAATATGCCAATTCCAAAACATGACTCTCAATCAAAGTATCAATCTTTTTGGCTCCTTCTCCTACCCAACTACAAAAAATTGAAAATTCAGCTTCCCCTGCTCTTCACTCAAATCCCAATAGTTGTGATTCACCTTGTTGCATTGGTGGTAGCAGGACCATGGCCAGCACAAGTGGCATATGGAGTCCTTTTGAGACTGCTGATTGGAGAAAGAGGCTTGCGGGGGTTCATACTAGAAATGTCGAGGACATCCGAGACGAGGAAGGTGTTGTGGACACTGAGATTGTGCCTTCTTCACTTTCTGGACTTGTGCCTGTTCTCAGAGCAGCTCTCGCCATTGAAAAGGAGAATCCAAGAGTTGCCTATCTCTGTGAGTATCTTTATATGATTCATGTTACAATCCCCTGTCATTAAGGTTGTCAAACTCGACTAGAATCATAGACTTGTAAGATAATACGCAGCCGTATGCAAAGGTTTGTGAAGTTGGGTATCCCACCTCTTATAAATAATTTTCCATCCAGGTTCATAGCTACAAAAATACCAAATATGGCATATAGAAATAGTAACACTTACACAAATAAGACAATTAAATTTTAACGAATTTTGGAAATTTTACCTTTATATATTATTAAAGTTTCTCATAATATTTTTCTTACAATCCATCTCCTCATATATATATATAAAACTCATGGCTAGTTTTACATCAGAATTCACCAACCGAAGGACCACCATAAGAGGCGCAGCAGCTTTTAAGCATATGGTTATAAATACTTTGTCAAAATTGTTGTCATATGTTTTACTTCAAACATGCATCTGGCATTTATATGCTATAAAAAGCCTTTGTTTATGAAAGATTATGACTATACTTGTCACTTGTCTGAACTTGTTTCGCCACTGATTCAACATCTAAATTCAGTATGTCAAAGGTGTTTTTAACTTATATTTGCAGAAGATTACATGGTACTGAATACTGGTGTTTCTTTGCTTGTTTAATTAGGTCGTTTCCATGCATTTGGGCTGGCCCATAAAATGGATCCTACATCAATTGGGCATGGTGTTCGTCAGTTCAAGACCTACCTATTGTCCAAACTTGAAAAGGTACACTGGCTAATTTTTTTTTCTTACAGTTCTTAAAGATTTTAAAGGTGCTGTTTTGTACTTGTCTTTGGTATCTATGAGCTGGTATAATGATATGTTCTGTTGATTAAATACATAAATATTAATCTCAACATGACAGGATTTTCTCTTTTTCATTTTTAAAATCTCCGGGTTGCAGGAAGAGGAGCTTACAGTGAAATTTAGGACGAGAAGGGGTGATGCTAAGGAGCTGCAGGACTACTACCTACAATTCTATGAAAAGAAAATCCGTGATGGAGAATTTAGCCAGAGGTCGTGAGGCTTGATCTTAAACTTGTGCTTGCAAGTTTTGTGAATTGTGTTATGATTTCTTATTCTTCTCATGTTTCTCTTGAAGGGAGGAGATGGCTAAGAATGTTCAGATTGCTGCTGTATTGTATGAAGTGCTGAAGACTATGGTAGCTCCTCGAAGTATTGGGGATAAGGTTTGTTTTGCTTGATTAGGCTACCATGACTAAAATTTGTAAAATACTTCTAAACATAGATGGACTAAGGATGTTGTTTAATTTCCAGTTAACAACATATGCTGAGGATATTGAGAAGACGAGGGAACAATATGAGCGCTATAACATCCTTCCATTATATGCTCTTGGTGTTAAACCAGCAATCATGGAACTTCCCGAGGTTTTTGAATCTGGGATATATGCATTGTTTGTTTTGCATCTGCTAATGATATGATCACCCTAATATTTTAAATTTTTAATCTGCTTGTTTGTTTGTTTTTTTTTTCTTGAAAATTATAGATCCAAGCAGCAATGGATGCAATATTTAGGGTGGATAATCTTCCATTTTCAGTAATTCGTGCAAGACCTGATGTTTCTGGTGATGATTCTACAATGCCTACGGAGAAGCTTAAAAAAGCGAATGATATATTTGATTGGATTGCCTCAGTTTTTGGGTTTCAGGTAATAATGAATATTCTCCCCTTTTCCCTTTTATTTCCTAATTTCACTTTGAACGGATATTGTCTTGGTTACAAATTTAGGCGAGAGATAACTAAGTGCCACACTTATTATTAATCAATCGGACTTGGGCTTTCGAGGTGGTGTTTGGTATATGAGAAGATTTTTTATGGTTCAAAATCAACGCTATCAAAATCGAGAGTCTACGGGTTTTTGGTTCATTTTGTAGTCACAATCGAGAGAGACGTGCAAATCATGAGAAGAAAAGAAAACCTAAGGAGAAACGTAGGTCTCCATGTTGTTTTGGGGCTTTTCTATGTGAACCTCGTAGACATGCATAATCACAACATACTCGCGATTTTGGCCGAGTTTGTGCAATTTCGCTTGAGGTTTCACGAATTTAGTGGAAAACGAGTTTGCATACGAGTGACTTCCCAAAGTCGTAAATTCAGAAGTTTCTGAGTTAAAACTCGATTTTGACAACCATGCTAAAAATCATAATTCATGGAATCTAAATCTTTAGAATATGAAAAATCTGGTTGCCCATAAATATTTTTTTAAATATTTATAAATATTATTTAGGTATCAATAATTTTTTATTGTATTAAATAAGATAGATAAATATATATTATAATGTTTTTACTGTATTAAAACTTTGTTTTTAATTTGGAAATGTTAATTTCCCATCTCCTTCAATTTTTATAAATGTTATCTAGAAATTAAATTTTTTTCACTATATTAAATAAGTAAATAAAGGTAATATAACGTTTTCTTGCATTAAAACTTTATTTTTAATTCAAGAATGTTATTGCCTCATTTTTTGTATGGGAATCCTATGTACAAATCATTTCTGGAAACAATGTTTTATATGAATGTTATATTTTAAATAACAAAAACGTGAAAAATTAACATTTTTTATGTCAACTCGTGGGAAAGTGAAAACTTTCCATTGATGGTGAGTGAAGTGACCTTGATTGCCTCATGATTGGATTTTGATAGTTGAAATTGTTAGAATTCTAGAATCAGGGTTTTAGTTTTTTTACTTTTTAAAAAAATGAGTGTTAGTAACACATTTTCTTCAATGCATGCTTTATTTTTTTTATTAGAATTGATTGATAACTATAAAATTAGGGGAGAAAGTTGTCTAATAAGAAGTGAAACTCACCAAAATTTGTGATTTCCAATAAATTTAAATCAATAGAAAAGAGAGATTTAGAGAGTAATATTTCTAATGTTGAGGAAAAGTAAAAAGTGTGTTCGGAAGAGTGTTTGCTCTTAAAGAATAATTTTATGTTTGGTAAGCATAATTTAGAGAATGGTTTTTGTCTACCCAAAATGGAATGGATTAAGGTGGAAATAAGAGAGATAGGAAGAAAAGATAAAAAGTAAAGAGAAAAAAAAATGATAGATGTGATGGATGATTGAATAAAATCTGAAGAGAGAGAGAGAAATGAGATGGAATAGAAAGTGTATATATGATGAGTATATTTTAGAAAAATGTTATCAAACACGTACTCAATTTAACAAATGTGAACATAAGGCTGATCTGGAAGCAACATGATGATTAAATGGCGTTGTTTTAGAGCTATGATCCAAACCTTCAAATAAGTTGGAATTCAGGAAGGATTCTCGAACAAAGAATTTTTAATGTTATCGCTGGTAATGATAATAGATCTTTGCAATGCTTAAAGCAAATCATTTTCCAGTTTGTTTATTCGTAGCTGAAGCAAAATGGCCAGTGTTTTTCAGTGGAGATATCTTCCTTGAACCTTTTACAACATTAGGGTTTTTCACAACAAACATGAGAAATGAACAATTTAAAATCATTCTTTTTCTTTTCAGCTTCATTGTAGTTGTTCGATTCAAAGGTTGGCTTCTTTGATGGGCTTTTTCTTTTTATTAACACTAGAAGAAAAGCATAAAATAGCATTGATTTTTCAATAAAAGTCGAAGCTAAATATTATTTTTGTATTGGTAAAAAAGGTGGACATAAATGTGTGTGCGTCGACTAGAAGTAGTCTTTTATTTGAGTTGAATAAGTTGACTCTATGTTAACATTAAATAGAGTCATCAAAGTCAACATTAAAAAATAAAGACCACAAAAAAGCATGTTACCATTTTCTCATTTCCCTCTACTTACTTTGTACCAAAATTCCTCAACCTATTGCATGTGCTCTTGCTGCTGCTCCTAATCCTCCTGCTCTTGTTGTCGTCCATCCATCAGCCACTTTGCAACACAAAAAAGTGGTCAAAAAATGACTAAAGTTTGGGGATCGGTGATTAGGCCCTTCCACCATGCCCCCACCTCGCCTCTTGGGAGCAACAACAATGGTGTGAGCAATGAAAGAAAGCCCAAGAGGAAAAAAAAATTGTTTTTGGGTGTGGGGTGAGAAGTACTTATAATTCTTTGAATTGATGAAGGTAAAGAAAAAAATTAATTTTGCACTCAGGCATCCACATTAGTCGACGCTAATAAGCATCCACTCTAACAATAAATTCTTTGAATTGATGAAGGTGAAGAAAAAAATTAATTTTGCACTCAGGCATCCACATTAGTCGACGCTAATAAGCATCCACTCTAACAATAAATTCTTTGAATTGGTGAAGGTGAAGAGTGGTAGGACAGAAGATTCAATTTCATGCTTAGTTGAATATCTTAGTGTTGGCCAAGTCAGTGCTAATGTGGACCCTAATAAATGCTGACCTAGCCGACTTTAGTAATTATTTTTAAAATTATTAATTAGTATTAATTTTGCCAATGCTAATAATTTTTATTTTTCTCAAAAATTTAGTAGTGCTGGCCATGACCAACACTAACTAGAAAAGGATAAAAAAAAATAATTAATAGGAAACATATTAGTGTCACTTGGCTGATGCTATTTAGCGTCCGGGTCATGGCCAATACTGACCAATGCTGGTTAGTAGTTGTTTTTGCATTAAAATCTACACTATTATATAAAAGAAAAAGTTTTCTGCAATCACTTTGCTCTTTATTTTTATACAAATCATTTTATCTTTTTTATTTTATTTAGAAATATAAATCGTTATTTCTGTCCCCAATGTCTTTTTGGTCTCAGATCATTTGTTCTTTTAAAGTAACTACTCAATTGTTTCTTAAATTATTATTTTTTCATAAAAAATAAATAAATATTATTCCTGTATTAGGAGACACACTACTTATCACTAAGTTATCAATCTTGATCTTTGGTCTCGGTCTTCTCGCTTTGCTTTGCTCGTTATGGGGTAGGGAATGCTTATAAAAGACACTCCGACGTTCAAGTAAGTGATCGGCGTAATAAATGCGATAGTTAGAGTTGTTTATGTACCTCGTTGAGGGTCTATTTATACTGGTTGTTGTTGGGCCGTGATTAGGGAATGAGCCCCGGAAAATTAGGGGAGTAAGGCGGTGTATTAAGTAGATTAATCTCGTCCTAATCCACCTAGCTTTACTCCGTGGCCTTAAGTATGAAAATCCTACTGGCCGAGTCGACCGACCCCAATTTTACCGAGTCGGTCGAGCCGGATGTGCTAGGCTTGTTCGGTTTGGTCGGCCATAGTAAACGTGTTCGGCTTGGTCGGCCATCCGGTATACAACCCCCATAACGTCGAGGACTAGAAGGACGAAGGCGTTAGACTGATTGGGTTGATAATGCCGAGACCACCGACCACCATGGTGAACCGACCATTAGTTGAGAAGGATGCTATGTCAGGGGTGACGAGCACAAATGGCCGGATATTTGATAGGGAACGTGTCGCGTCGCACGTGGTGGGCCTCCCACGTCTTGGGGCGGTTGAAATTCCAACGGTCATCAAATCTGGTCCGTTCATTGATTGAGATCTGACGATTGGTGTTCAGGGGTGGCTTTTCACCCTCTTTTTTTTTACCTTGCCTATAAATAGTAGGTTAGGGTTGTGGATTTTTACACCCTGTGAAATTCCAAGATTTATCTTCCACCAGAGAGAGAGACCGACTTCTTTGAACAAGGCGAGAATTAGGGCTGTTTTGCTCATGTGTGAGAGATGGAGAGTGGCTATTCCTCGGCAAGGAGTTGGACGTCATCAAACGCGTCGGGGTCTACGTCAAGAGGGAAGGGGGCTAATGGGAGCGAGGTGTCGAGCCTCCCATCTCTGCAATGAGGTTGTTTTTCCCTTAGATCTGGTCGGCCAATCGGAAAGTGAGGAGGACATGGTTGAGTTACCCCCACCGAAAGCCGTATCGGTTCCCCGAGAAGAGGAGTTTGGGGTGACCTTGACAGAGGACGAGATAGTCGCCCACATCGAGGATGAGGACGTAGCCGAGTATCAGGACGATCACACCAAGAATGACAAGGTGGTTCGTGCTCCAGCTTGGGAAGATCGACTACGACACTGTTGAGATGGCTAAGTACGAATGGGTGGATGGAGAGGTCGACATTTACTTTTCTGCCCTTTCAGATCAAGGGTTATTGGACAAGTTCGTCAAATCGGCAAAATGTTTCGGGAGTGGGGAGGGGGAGTTACCATTGGTCGCTGAGGCTTGTAATGATGAGGGCCCAGACACGGACTTCGTGTTTCTGGATCGGAAAGCCGAGGAGACCGACTTCTTCTACGCTTACATGTGTTGGTTCGAGGACTTGGGCATACAATTTCCATTTGACGACTTCCAAATGGGGCTACTCCAGGTGTTAAATGTGTCGCCGACCCAGCTACATCCGAACGCTTGGGCGACGATGCAAGCTTTCCGGAACCTGTGCCTTTGTCTGAATATTGTTCCTCGACCCCTCTCCTTCCTGTATTATTACATTTGTCGCCCGAGCAAGCCGATCAAACGGGTGTCTTTGACTCGGGTACCTCGATGAGGTTTTTTGAGGGCATTCACGTCCTCTTACAAGGGCTTCAAGAGTGGTTTTTTCAAGATTCGTTGGGGGTCGGAGATAGCTGATTGCTTCTTTGATTGGGAAGGAACAAATTTGTTCCCGTTTTATTGGACGAAGACCCCGACGTGCTTCGAGGCCATGACTATGTCTAGACTTCCTGCCAAGGATCAAGAGATCATAAATCTGTTGGATAAATTGCCGAAGGGCTTGCTAACCCGAAGCCTATTGGATATTTTTGATACTTCAAATTTTGAGTTAACTTTGCTAGGTATGTTTTCCTGCTTCGGTTATGCTAGAGTGTTTCAAATTGATGTTAAACTTGGTTTTGTTGTAGGATTGATGGCCAGTGCCGGTGATGACATGGATGTGACTGCAATGCTTGTGAATCGAGCCAAGGTGGCGAAAGCAAGTGGGAAATTTCCGTCTGCCTTAAAGATTCAACGGGAAAAGCTGGCCGATGTCATAATACCTTTGGCCAAGTAGAAGAAGAAGAAGACTAGCTTGTCCAGGGGGAGGTCTGCTGAACCGATCACTGCA